ATGTTAAACACTTTTGAAGTCATAGGCTCCTCAAAGACTAGCAAATTCTGGTCAGCTGTGATGACGAAGCTACTTGCATTTTTACATGATAATCGCACAATCAATCTGGCGATGTCGTTCACCTGGATGTTAGCCTGTCAGTCTTGAAACACGTCAGGCACAAAATGGTGAAAGAGTGAATCGGTGTTAGTGTGTGTGAAAAACTCGAAGATAATTGTTGCATCTCCTAACAGATTACATTTAACTTGCACGTTTTTGACATCTTCGCATTTCCAAACTGACAACCTACTTTGTGTTTGGAGTAATTTGTAATTTATCGTGTTTAGTTCTTGCCTCTGACTCTGAACAGTATTGGTAAGCACGCCTTTGCCGAACAATCCAGAGTCATTTGACTTGAAGGCGTGTTGCCGGTATTCATTCCAAGGTCCGCCTTCAACTACTTGCTAACTAATTAAACGATTTTGTTTTGAATATTCGATTGGCTTAAACCTCACAGCTAACCTGATACGTAAACTTTGCCAGATGACCATTTCCGTTGCATCGGTCTAGGGAAGCAGTGGTGGCCAACGCTTACTTTACGCTGATTTTCTACTTAGTAGACATTTAAGCTAAGGAACGTTTCATCAAATGTTTACACTACAACTGCAATCAGATGTCGCTTGCCATCATTTTCGGGGAAATCGCCAGATGTTGACAGTTGAACGTAACCACCTCAGGAGTTATCAGAACATCATCTGGCCAAGGTTTACGATGAGAACATTAACCGGTATTAAGAAAAACTACGACCAGGCACAAAGCACAACAACAAAAACCGAATCAGCTGACCGTGTTCACAAGATGAGGCTTAAGGAAGAGTTATTCTGAGGTGTTTACAATTCGACTTAGTAATTTTGATGAGAAACCTAACGATATTGCGATGTGCTCTATTTTGCTCCACTTCAATTTGCAGCAATTTCGTTCGGCTAAAATTGGCCTTAAAGACAGGAAATGTGTTTGTTCAGAAAATATTTTCCTAAAGAGGCCAAATATTATTCAGCTTGTCATTTAACTCATCTTCACTGCATTTCGAAGTTGATGGACAACAAGTCTGCAACTTCTGATTCAGTATTTCTGCGTTTGTCTGTCTGTCTTAGATATTTTAAGCTGTTGCTCAATCCCGTAAGTCATAGCAAATATGTATTCACAGTGAAATTACTAGAAAATCATCGTCAATTCTACGTAGTTCATTGAGAGCACCTGCTAAATTTGATTTGAACGTTGAATTTTAAATGGTTTTGCCTTCGTGATAGGGAACCAATCTGATTTTGCACTTTTTTCCTAAGAGGAAGTCCATAATGAGGCTCTTTTATTACGTGCATCACAGCCGACGGATCGTTTAAGCAACAATCTGTACCAAACATGTATTCCGTTTTGGATAACTCATGTCCTGTCTTTCTTTCTAGTGTTTGATAGAATCTCTCGGTGTTTTTGTGTATGATGAATTTGCTTTCAATAATCTGTTGATTCTAAACGTTACTAACCCTGGTTGATTGCCAGTAGTTTTGATTGGAGCAGGTTCGTGCATCTGATTGGAACCCAATGCTTCAATGTCTTGGCTTTGGGCGAGAATGCGCATGAAACCTCATCACGTCTGTTGTCATTGGTGATCCGATTGTTTGCTCATTTGTGGACTTTGTGGGTTGACATAGAACAACAATATGCCATCATACTCGTTTTGAGGATCACATGGCAAGCAGTGAGATTATAGCAAGTGGGAGGTTAAGCTACATCAGTTACTACTACGTCATGTTCCATTAATTGTTGCTATTTCGCCGCCAAAACACCAACAATGCATGCTTTCCACGCGTGACATGAGGGAAGACAGCTGAAAGCAAGTAAAGTTATGTACAACAAGGCCAAGTGGGAAGAGGCTGCACGCAAACCACTAGAAATGTGCTTAGTGAAGTGATGGAGAACAGGCCAAAGCAAAAGCGACGACGAATGTGAGGGTTCGACAAAAACATTCAACAACATTCACACACACAACGCTTATTAAAATCGACGGCTCTTTCACATTGGACTTCACTCCTAATGTCATTTAGTTTAACGGCAAAACGAAAGCATACAAACAAATATCGGAACACATTTGTGATCTTTTGATTGCACTTAAATTAAAAAAAGACATTTTGAGTAATTCGTCAATCTTTTTACTGCGTAGATAGTGTGAACGTTGTTGCACTTCCTAGAAGGATACCGATTGGCTTCAATTATAGAATTGAGTAGATGGCCCAAGTGTATTTGCCAGATTGCCTTAGACTGAAATAATTGGTTCTAAATCAGTGTGCTTTAGCGTAGAATTGCTTTAGTGGCTCAAAATCAATCGACGGGGTTGTCATTTGTTGTGGTCCTCTGGGTACAGTGATGATTGAAAGTGGGGTGACTCCCCACAGATGCGATGCTTCCTCCTTCAGCAACATGCGTCGATCTCAGTGGTACTCTATGATGCCAACGGATGGAGGCGTTAAGCTGCATCATCTGTGACGTTGTCACCGACGACCACATCAGAACATTTACAGAGCAGATGCACACGGATCCGTTGCTGTTTCTCTCAATGCCGAATTCGTTTTCAATACAACATTTGACAAGCTCGCATTTGTTCCACACATCACTAGTTTTATACCACTACTCCAACAAGTCACGACCGCCAGTATTTCTTGCTGTAACTCACTTGTGCGTCTGAGTGAATTACGACGTGTGTGTGTGGTTCGTGGAGCAGCATCTATTCCAATTTTGCAGCTTTCTCATAGGAACAACCCCATTCACAGGTGTAAACATCCATGTGTGACGGTGCGTGTGATCCTCGCAGAACAACAGAGAGCAAACGTCTGGTATGATGCACGTCGTAACAGAATCATGTTATGACAGGAGGTTGTGTGATGCCAACCAATGAGGTCTCTAACCTGCATCACTTCCTCGTGCTCATTAATTGGAGGCACCTCGGCATCAAAACGTGTACGACGCATGCCAGAAAGTCAACTTCTAACTACACTCATTTAAGCTAACGCATAGATTAGAAGAGACAAGGAATCGCACCAGTGTTCAAGCACACTATTATGGCAACTTGGTACTGCAACAGATTCATGTCACCAGTCCTTTTGACACAACCGCACCGTTCTGAGTATTTGATATATCGTAGCCACCCAAGGCGACTTGTCAGGTACAGTAGTGTGGGGACGGTGTACGTTTTAGAAGAAATGTCAGTAGATCTTGCCTTGCTGGTGATCATGTTGCTGACCAGTGTGCGAAATTTCACCTCATTTCGTTCACGTGCTCTCCACTTTCCTTTCTCATACGTTAGAGGTCAATGAACTTTTTGGTCTGAAAATACCCACTAATTCGTGGTTTTAACATGCATTCGCAGGTTCACAGTGCTCCTTAGGTTGCTTCAAGTGTTCTACGATTTGAATGTGTAGTTCGTCGGCAATGACCGATTATAAATTAAATTACATTTTCGTCCAATGTGCCAATTCGCTTTCAAAAGGCTGATTGTGTATCTGACGTTCACTGGTTTTAACTATGCTACTGATGTCTAATTAAGCGTTTCACTGCAGACATGTCCAATTTCACAGAGCACTATAATATTCCTAGGATTCAGAATCCATTTGCTCGTCACAAAGGCCTTATTGGGTGGAATTCCACAGTCACCCTAACCAACACGCGCATCAAAACTGATGACAGTTACTCAGACACATGGATATCTTTAAAAAGCATTGCTGACTCAACCCAATTTTGGACGTCTACTTAATCGTGTTCGAATGCGTTATTTATTGGGTTTGAGAAAGCGAGATTTGCACGAACGACTTATCACACAACCAATGTGAAGTCTATTAGAAACAATGCAGTAGGAGCATTGCGAATATTAGCGCTTCGATTGTTGAAAGCACTGTGCCGATCGACGTCGTTGTCATGGCAATTGACGCGGTAGCTGGTGTGTCCCTATAACACTGGTTTCGCTGACATCCGTATCCATCCGGACATTGACTGCAGCTTTCTCCACGTTCGTAGGGCCGTGCTGCCACCAAACGATCACTAAAATTAACCATACAACTAGTTAAGCATTGCGTTGCATTGCAGTTCAGAGTAGAAAGAGATAATCAGACTTACCTGGGTTTGTAGATGCACACCAGTGTATACGCGGATTTCGAAACTTCATTTTTGTTTGGACAATTTTTCAGTGCACATCCAAATTGTGTCGACGCTGCCCAAACCATCTATAAAACCTAGGAAGACAGACATTTCTTAGGCAGTGGAAACAGTACTGGAGCAACCAAGATACCTTTGTGCCCCGTTAAATGGACAGATGTCGCTGATGTTTAACACTTACAGCTATGGTATTCATTTTTTAGGGAAATCAATTATGCTTGAAAGCTGTGAAAACAAGTGAGAAACGCTAAGCTTTTCACACAGTTGGTTCAGTTTTCCAAAGTGTGATTTTTAAAACGGCGTTGCTAACCTTATTGTACGCATTGCAGAGACCGGCGCAGCTGTTACTCTCGTAGTCATAATGACTGCCGTTGACTTTGCACAA